TCCTCAGTCTCTTTTTTCTCAAGAAGATTGGTTTCCTTTTATTATATACAGGGTGTCTCAGTTAAGCGTTTCAGAACTTCTAAGAGGGGTAGGGGGCATCCTGACGACTCGAAATCATATAGCAATGTGGGGTCGGAAATGCTTTCCTGAAGCAGTGACGTACACAGAAGCACCATAAAGAAAAGAGACCGTAAGTGAAAAATCGCTATAATTATACATTGAAAAAATTATATGGTACATGGGCCAAAGTAAGTGTTCGAAGTTTCTGCCACTGGCTACAATGTGCACCTCACATCTCCGGCGCAAGGTCATTCGAACACTCTGCAATACTCCAGGCATGTCTCGCAGGCAGCTACTGCGATTCTTGCAACCAGCATTATCAACAGGAGTGTCATAAACCAGTGCTTTCATATGACTCCAAAAATCAAGACATGATAAGTCGGGTGACCGAGGAGGCCATATAATTTTTTCAATGTATTATTATAGAGATTTTTCACTTACGGTCTCTTTTCTTTATGGTGCTTCTGTGTACGTCACCGCTTCAGGAAAGCATTTCCGACCCCACATTGTTATATGATTTCGAGTCGTCAGGATGCCCCCCACCCCTCTTAGAAGTTCTGAAACGCTTAACTGAGACACCCTGTAGATGATATTGTATGAATATTATATAGATGATATTGTATGAATATATATGAGCAACGTAAAATACTTTTAAAAAAATAACAGATTAAAGCCCATGACATCGAATCTAGGAAAGAAAACTCCACAGGTGACACTTGTCGCATGTAAAGTTTTTCTAAAAAGTGTTCGACAGTGCACAATGAAGATCGACTTGAATCTAAATTGAAATTTATTAATTATTAATAGCATTCTGCATCTATCTATACTGAATATTTATTTCATTGAATGAGAATCATAATATCTAATTAATATGGAATTTTAAGAGGTTGATTTGCTATAATAAGATCAAGGAAATATGCACGGAAATTGGCGACTAGCGTCTTCTAAGCTTCTGAATCAATCATCGTTGTTTGCTAAAGCATTGAAAATAGTTACTCTATCACAAAGTTGCTAGGTGTTGTTGTAACTTTAATGGATTCTACTTAATTATAACTCAGTAAATTTTTGGTTTAAAATATACTAATAACTAATATAAAAGTTCTGTTCTTACTACCCTGCTAACTACCTTTTTTATTATTATTTTTATGTTCATTAACCAATAAATAAAACTTTTTTACAAGTAGTCATTTATTTTTAACATACGCAGAAAGTAAGTATGCTTATTTTTTAATTTTGTGATTAGATAATACCTTTATTCGTGAAAAAATGAAACAAAATGGAAAAAAAACATGGAAATTATAAAAATAACTATGGGTTTTTTAATTTCAAACAAATCTAAAAGTAAATATTATCAGACAGATGCAAAGTCAAATTTTTAAATCTAGCAACAAAGAAAAAGGAGATTCAGGCCGTACCTCGATGGGCAACGTGGAAAAGTTTTTAAAGAACATTGGTATTAGTAAATGAATTACACTAGCTTCTAATAGGTCAAGCTGGTGGAAACTGACCTAGGCGGCTTTCATTGGAAATGGCTGTAGTACTTCAAAAGAAACAACAAAATAGAAGGCATGAAACTTAAACCTTTAAGCAGCCTCAAATCAGTAGCAAGTTCATGAAATAAACAGTGCTTACTTCATACGATACTCAAAATTTATGACAAGTATAATATAAGTTATATGTTAAAGAAAGCATTAATCCATGTCACCTTAATTTACAAGTAGTTTATATTGATCATACTATAAGGCATAATTAACGACTAGAATTTTGAGTTTACGACTAATGATCAACTCCATAGCCTTGTAATTCAGTAACCAATTCAGAAGACAAAGTAACTCGTGGATCAAGGATTGTGGCACGCAAGCTTTCGTGGAAGCACTTTTAATGTAACTTACCCGCAGTTGCGAAACATTGAGAGGAAAACCACGAAACCCTCTCATGGTTAGTCCGGCCGCAATGGGATCATAATTCATGATTCGTTAACAATTTAGGACATTTTACAACACTGTGGTCGGTGCGAGCCTGGAGCAGAATTTGTATCAACCAGCCACAGCTGATTCGAACCAAGACTATCTCATTAGGTGGTAAACGCTTTATCCTTTGAGCCACGCGCCTCAGGGAACACTTATTATAAATAGCCTTTTCAAAAGTTTATTATAATAATCCTAAGCATATTCAGACAGATTGAATAATTCTTGAAGCATTTCCTTATTAGCTTAAAAGAATATGCTGCTGATTGTAAAAGGCTAATAATATTAGAGCAGATTAGAAACTACTGAAGACTCTACCAACTAGACTGGCGCATTACAAATGGTAGCAGCATTTTGAGAAAAGGTAACTTGTTTAAATTAATTGTTAAACGAGTGCAATTGTAAACGTGTAAATACAGGTTTAACTTAATTTTTCTATTCAATAAGTACTTAAAGAACTGCATATTTGAGGATTTAAACTTTTAACAGAAGTTGTGGATAATGACGGGAAGTTTTCGTTATTCTTTTAAACACATTTAAAAAAAATTGTTGAAAGAGAAGCGGAGGTTAAGTTAAACAAAAACCTCGTTTACTTTTCATGAGGAATGATAACGTTCGAGCAACTCATAATTTGCTATTTTCAAAATCCAAGTAAATAATTTCAACATTTTCTGAAAAACAACTTCAAACTGAACAGGGAAAAAATAGTATAGTTTAACTTTCAGCAAACTAATTGAAATAATAACTGCTGGGGTGTAGTAACTTGTCACTTGTGTTGAAATACACGATATTTTGTAATTACCGCTCTGTGTACATAATTTTATATTTCGTTTTAGAAATAAAATCACAATACAACACATAGAAGATTGAAATGAACGTTTGAACGACAAAAAAACACTGTCGAAATGCTTCGAATCAAACAGAAATCAAATCAAATCTAGATTTGATTGTCTGGTGAAATTTGGAAATGTTTGTTCTAATAACCATTTAATTTCTCGTTGTCTTCTTCAGCAATCGAAAAACTTTAACATTGTACTTGTCTTCCTCTTCTCAATTGATGCATTAAATTCTGATAGTGGTTTCATTTTTGCATTTTCCGTAATATATATCGAACTTAAAGGGTCCCCTAGTCCAGTGTTCCCAACCTTTTTATCACCGTGGACCTGTCAACGTTTGATAATTTTACTGCTGGGGGGGGGGAACGTTGATTGTTTATATTTTAGATTATTTTAATTTATTAATTTTATTTTAATTGTATTTAAACATGCCTTCAAAATAAAGTACAATTACACCAAAAACAAATATAAAGTGATTTAAATTTTTTAAATCACTTTATATACTTTATCAAGAACGTTAAATTAATGAGAACCCTGAGCTTGTTTCTTTGCAATGAGACTGTTCCATCTGGGGGGTAATCGGAGACAATGACACCCGAAGTGTGTTGCTTATGTCCAGTTTATTCCGTTGCTTTGTTTTGGTTGCTGTTACTGCAGAAAACTCCGCTTCACACAGATAGGTTATCAGAAATGGCAATAGGGATTTAAGTGCTGTGGTGGCAATCTCGGGGTATTCTGCCATGAATTTAATCCAGAACACCGGCAGAGTTGTTGCCTCGAACGTAGTTTTAAGACCGCCGTCATTTGCAATCTCCAGCAGTTGATCTTCTTGCACAGACATGCTAGATTCGCCCGATTTGTTGACAAATGGGTTGCAGATCCATTCCTAACCATATATTTTTAATTTGGGGTATAAACCTAGGAATTTAAATTCAGTTTCAATGAAATGGGCAGCCAGTTACCATTTGATCCACGGACCGGGGATTGGGGAACACTGCCCTAGTCAGTCGTTCAGTGCACAGTCAGTGACAGTTGAACATTAGTGAACGAGTAGTTGAATAAGTAGGGTTATGGGGCAGTACAACAAGTTTTTGGTTTGGGTCAGCAAAAGAAGTATCAAAAACAAACAAAAATCGCATTTCTAAAGATCCCCTTTTGAGCAATAGACAGCCTCAGACTCTCTGACGAAGGGAGTTCCTTCGCTAGACAGACAGTATCTGAATTTTCGACATTTAACGATTTTTTACTTAATATTTGACTAGGTTTCTAAAAACATGCATTAAGGGTCACCCTATGCAGAAATATTTTCTTATAGTTCTACTTTTAAGAGGGCCAAAAATTTAGCTTTTTTTCGAATTGATACTCTTTTTTTTTTATTGGGTTTCAGTTAGCAATCTTTAGTCTTTAAATCATGCAAACATTAAAAGTAATCCTAACTTCAAACTAAATCTAAGTAGTGAAATGCGGTGAAAGCTATACACAAAATCTCAATTTCAATTTTGCCCACATTTGCTATTATTTAGATCAGTAATTGATCATTCACATTTCTTTAATTTGCGAAATCAACTGTCAAAAAATGTTTGAATATGAATGAAAAAAAATGAAACTACTTTTTTGGAACTTATATTTTAGTACAAATGTAATTCCGATAAGATTTTTTTAGTAACTATTAAATGGTTTTTTATGATTAAAAAATACACCATAATATATTTTTGCTTGTAATAAGAGAGTCAGGAAGGGGAAAAAATATATATATAAGGGACTAAGGTGTCCCATATGCGTTAAAGGGTTAATTTAAATTTAACTGAGCTACCCTATTTATGTATTATTATATATATGTGTGTTTTATATTATATGTGTTACCTAGTGATAACGTATATTGGAATTAGTTCTTATTATAATTTAATTAAAATAAAAGGACTTCGCAATTTTAAGCATCTTCTCGCATGCTCCCGTACGTAAGTTATGAAGCAACTGCGCATGCTCTCTAACTATTTTATTGCTTTTTAACATTAACAGTGAAAACTTCATCGAAATTGGCACAGTTACTTCAAAACTTAACGTAAGGCAACTTGCAGGATGATACGTAAAACTGCGAAATCTCTCAACTGAAGAATTAAGTATTTATGTCACTTACTTTCTTTTGGTAGGCAGAGGGAATGGTATAGGTTGTGTGAATCCAGCAGTAGGTGTTCATAATCTCCGATGCAAATTCCCTGGAGTGAGCACATTGTATTGGATCTCCAACGTATTGCTTGGTAGTGACCACTATGCAGAATGTTACTAAACATAACACTGTAAAGGTATAATGCAGACGGAAGACTTCATTGTCGATTTTGGTTCTGGAAACCTTGACGAGGCCTTTCACGCTGCGAAAAAGATCCAACATGTTCGATTAAAAAAAGTATCACCTTTCCTTCATTTCACTATGCGATCTACAGGATTTCATAGTTTGAATTTATTTTATTCTGGTCCCTAAGACGCTATGATAGCTTAAATAGGAATCTTATGGTAATAATTTGTTATTTTTTATCTTCTGTGGTTTCCATCACACACTTTTCGTTTATGTCGCTTAAGTTGGAGTATCTGTTCGAGTATGTGAAATTTCTTGCATACGCGTTTGCATTTCATTTATAATAAACAGAGGCTTTTCTTCTTGTGTTGCAGCCATTAGAAGTGACTAGGAGTACATTTCTTTCATAATCAACAATACTTTTTGCTGAGTTTCCTTCTAGCTTGTGGTAGTGAATCTAAAAAGAATACATAAAATTAGAAATTGTAAAACTCATCTTACAGTTTTTAATCATTCTGTGATAAATTAATGTTAGTATCAAAAAATATAATTCATTTTTCAAGTTTGTGATGTGAGCTTTAGACCAAAAGTGACTTTTTCAATACATTGCACCTGAAAATGGCAAATGATAATGGAAATTTAACGTATCAAACGAGGTCGAATTATATAATCCCCTATCTTTCGAAATACAGCAATTGAATTTCGATGTGGAGCATTATTAGAATTCCATTCATCAATCGAAGAATATCTTTTTCTTAACAAAATGTAATTTTTTTCAGTATCTATTGCATGAATCGCTGTGGCTCAGGGTATAACGCGCTCACCTTCCAATGAAGAGACCTCGGTTCGAATCCCAGAGATGGCTGGTTGGTACGAGTTCTGTTCTCGGCTCACACCGACCACAGTGCTGACGTAAAATATCCTCAGTGGTAAAAAGATTATGCATTAGCATCCAACTGTCATCGGGCTAACCATGGGTTGTTTTCGTGGTTTTCCTGTTCATGTGACGTAAATGCTAGTTCCATCAAAAAGTTACAGAATTAAGTTGGCAGTTAAGAGCTGGTTACAAAATAAGAAAATATCTACCACACCAATTTTCGAATTCTTTTGTTCTGTTTTTCTTTGTATGTGACTAAATTTAATTTTTTTCATTGCATTTTTTTCCAATTTTTTTTGTCATTTATTAAAAATTATTGATTGTATATTTAAAGTCAAAACATTCCTCTTAAACTCTAAATTGTATTATCTAGAACCGAATTTTAAGAACCTGAAAAAATTGGGTGACAATTCTAGCATAATGGAAACCTTTAAAAGTTTTCTATTTAAGCATAGGTTGGTCTGAAAATATCTATAATCTCCTAAAAAGTTTTCTTTCAAAAACAATTTTTGAAGCAGCCAGCATTCAACGACAATTATAAGCAAAATTAGTAAATTTAGTATGTCTTGCATTCAAATGTAAACTAATGCAAAGTACTTATAATTAGACTTTACAATCTTCAGTGTCTATTATTTTATAGTAGATTTACCTCCATCTCTCTTAGATATTTTATTTAACCATTGTCTACGAGTAGAAAAAAAAACTTTTTCTCTCTTCTTAGAATCTTTTTGAATTCTTCACATACTATTTAGCTCTAAATTCTATTTTTATCTCATCATTAAAATATATGTAGCATTTTTGGTTTCATGGCGAGCTCATACGATAAAATCTTTCTTCGGAACAAAAATAAAATTATTTTAAATCTACTTCAAATATCTTTTGAAAAAATATATTTTTATTGTTTGCTTTGAACAATGATTATGTTCATTGTATTTTATTTCTCATTATATTCATTATATTTACTAAAAATATGAAGATTTAGCTCTCTAGAAAATTCTATTTTATTACTTCCCGCTCCATTGATGATATTAAAAGTTCATAAACAGAATATAGTACGTTATTTTGCCCCTCACAGTTTGCAATTATGTATAAAAAATAATCATGACTATTATTGCTTTATAAAATTTGTATCGTAAAAAAAATAAAAATTCTCACTTGTATAGCGAAACTATTGAAATTTAAAATCCAAAAAATATCATTAACCATTTCTAAAAGACTCAAAACCTGTCTTAAGTAAAAAAGAAATAAGAAAGAAATAACTTTTTAGAGTATTTTAACAAACCAATCATTAAATCTATCGACCAATAGAAGTATTTTTCATAATTGCTATTTTTTTTGGGGGGGGGAACTAACTTCTTTTTTGATTTCTACATTTTTGACTTGAAATTTATCATTCATTAACAAACAAAAATGGGTAAATTGTTTTAATAACATGTGCAATGGAATAGAATATCCGGGGAAAGAGAATTTGTACTATTTTTGAATCAAATAAAAAGGAAAACATAAACAATATATGTTAAAAATAATTCAGGTGAGATAGACTGTGTAAACTTCAAAATTGGTTCATATTTTCCAAAGAAATAAGTTTACAGTGATAAAAACGTGATTCGTAACAAATTTTCAGATTACGAATAAATAATTACGTTTTTTACGAAACCGTTTCCTGGTATATGCTCCGAGAGAACATTTCATCAGAGTAACGAAATAGCTATCGTCACTCCTTCGAGGAAATGAATTTCATCAATGGTAAAAAATATTACATCATTGTATTTCTTACACAAAAAGAAACCTCCTTGTGTTTCCTGTATTTAACTATACCGAAGGCACCATAAAGCTGGATCAACGTCACCTTAACAACGCAAGAAATAAAGATAGAAGAGAGAGAGATAGATTACTCTCCTCAGTAAAGCAGGATTCGAACCAGGGATCTTCCGGGTACGAGGCCAACTTCTTGAACACCACACTGTCGGTTGCCTTACTTCGTCACTTTATTTTTGATCGTCTTCTAGTATTCGTCATTCTAGTTAACGATCTCCCACAACGCATTATGATGAGGTTTCGAGTTAAGTAAAAATCTTCGCCATACATTTAAGAGTTACCGTTTCGTCACAAATAAAGTGATTTCGTGACGAAATAATTCTCAAAATTACAAAATATAGCTCAAGGATTGCTGAAATACTGAAGGTTAGAGTTTTATTTCTGAGAGTGTAAGTTTTAGAAGTACTATAATATGGTTGAAATTAACACCATATTAAGATTCCATGGAAATTTGAATGATCATAAGGTTAAAAAAGCTCGAAATTTCGAACAGTGTATACAAATAATTATTTTTTTGATTGCAGAACAACTAAAAATGATGGCTTATCTTACTATCATTATTATTTAAGAGAGTCCACAAGTGATCGTTTAAATTTCAAACAATGTTTTCAAATTACACTTCAGATTCAAACTCATTGCAAAGAAGTCTTATGATTGTATCAGTTTCATCCCTCTTGAGACCTGATAACGAAGCATTTCATAAAATTGTCATTTAGAGTTTGGTTAAAAAAATTCTGCTACTTTAGTTTTATACCTTTGACTAATTTATGAACAAAAAGGGACGAATCATTTAAATAAATTTACAAGGAATTGGAAAAAAAAGAGAAAACAATGGGGGGGGTTCTAAAAAAAAGGGGGAGGAATTCTTTGAGTTATTTTTTGCTCAAATAGAGCAGAAAATGTAAACATTAGATACTTTTACCCCCTGAAAAAAAATTGAGATGCGATAGAGGCAGAATTTAAAATCAATGCACATAAATTATATTAAAGATACATGAAACAAACCTAATCACACCGAGAAGTCAAAAGATGATGAACGAAATTATGATAATGTTGAACGAAAATTGAAGAATCATTTAAATTCAAAAGGAAATAGAAAGAGAAAGGAAAGCAAAGGAATATTTTTTTTAAATAAGGGGGGGGGGAATTCTTTGAGCTATTTTTGCCACAAATAAAACAGAAAAAGTAAATATGTATAAGATAATTTTACCCTCTAAAAAAATTCTGTTGCGATAAAGTTTATTTTAAAATCAATACACATAAATTATATTAAATCTACATGAAACATACCAACTCACTACAAAGAAGTTGAAAGGTAATGCAAGTTTTAATTTTAAAATAATTAAAGTCAGCATGCACTAATGATATATCTACAGGTAGTATCCTAGCAAAGAAGACTTACGATGGTGCTAGTTTTAATAACTCCCGCGCAGCGACTTATTTTCTGACATGGAAACACTCGATATCAATTCACATAATTAGCATCAAACCTCTATCAAAAAGTGAAAAAAAAAACTAGTTTTGTTTGGCAACTTAACTCATCAGCTGACAGATTAGTTTTACAACTGGCGTTTAAACAGTTGGCAAAATAACAAATGAAAAAGAATAAAAAGACACTAAAAAAAGTTTGTCTGTCCTAACAAATGTATGCCGAATTGCTAATGACGTCAGTAACCTGCGATAAGACTGCAAAAATAATATTCTCATTTTCCGGTTATAAATAAGTTCATTTATCAAACTTAAAAAAGAAAAACAATTAGAACAAAAGAACTGAAGCTGAAATCCATACATTTGCCTTTCTTTGCCCTAACTAAAAAAGTTTTTCAAATAACAGCTATTATATAAATATTTGTTCATAAAAGCTTTTATAAATATATCACATAATTTTTAAAAATGAGACTAACTAATTTTATCATTCATGTTTCACTTCTTTTTTCTACAGGAGTTTTTACTTTTCTTATAAGCCATCATAACTATACACAAACCTCTCACTAAGGAAAATAATCTGATCAAAACTAACAGAATATAGTAAAATTTACCCTTTTTTTGGCTCTATGGGAACATCAAAAAGCTCAGTAATTTTGACCGAAGCATTTTGTTAAAATTAACAATAAAACAGTGTTTTGTAATATTTAATAAAATTTGATAATCGTTCTAAAATTTGGTAATTTCATCATAAAATCTCAGAGCAAGGCATAAAAATCAGTTATTCTGTTAAATTTACTTCTTAATTTTATATTTATTTAAATGTGTTGTAATAAGAACTATAATTTTGAAAACTAGAAGTTTCGGTAAACCGTTGTCATATGAGCGGAAAAATTACCTAATCAATGGTTTAAGCACCGTATATTTTTTGCATTATTAACCAGAATTACGATTTTTCTACAAGAAATAATATTACCATACAGTACTATAACCACCATTTTATTCTCCATGCGTATAATTTTACAAATTTCTTAATTTTTTCAAACATTACTAATTAAAGAAATTGAACAATAAATCCAAGGAAAGGTGATAACTATTTTGCTTTCAAAAATATTTTGAGCAAAAACATGAAGAAAAGGCAATAACAATTATTTAAACTACATAACTTTTTTAAAAAAATAAAATAGAAGAATATAAATAAACATATTTAATTAATAATTATGAAAATAATTTCTATATTAGTTTTATAGTGGTTGAATTTTACTTCCAGTTAACAATTATATTGTATAGTTTAAAGAAGTATTTTTCAAAAGGCTAATGCTAAAAATTTATTAGACTTCTTGCAAAGCTTTTTTCCCTTGCTACAATAAAAATCAAAGTCATTTGCTATGTGGTTTGTATAATCATTTATATCAAGGTACTCTAAAGTACATTGATTTATGAAAATAGCCTGTTCACGTAAAATAAATTAATGTCTTCTTATTCTCCAAAATTTTGCTCTTTTTGCATATTTAAGAACTACGAATATAAGTTTAGGAAGTTATTTATTATTTATTTTATACTCCAAACCTACTTAATAAGATTTACTAAAACTAGCACAAAATACAATATTGTACTTCAATATTCTTTTTATCTTATATCTTGTTAAAATTACAAGCATTTCATTTAAATGCTTTTTCATTCATAACTGTCAGAAATATTGGTGCATGCTTAACGTTAGTCGTAATATGATACTAATATATTGTCCCATAAGAAATGTTCATAATCATAAACCCTCATACTGTCTATCGCACTAGTCAATTATTATAAGATTGAAACTCAATTTGTTCAAAAACATGATTCAACTTTGTTGCAACATATTTGAGCGTTATTCATGTTTAAAATAAGGATTTTATGACTAAATCATGAGCAAATTAGTTTAATATGCTTCTTAAACTTCAATTTAAATTTATTCTTATAATTTATAACCTATATTTTAAAAAAATTATAATTGTATAAGCAAGCTTACTTTTGATAACAATTAGCTATTTTAACTATTTTTAAGAAATTTCAACTATTTAAAATAACTATTGGAGTGAATTAAATATAATTTATGCAATCAAAAAAACTAAGATATATCTATCAGAATTTAAGATATTCTAAAATTTTAAATTTATTTAATTATTTATGTATTTTTGTAAAAGTTCAATTTTACCCATTTTCAAGAAATAAATGTTTTTAAAAAAAATTATTAATTGGTGTTTATCATTTTGTTACAGTTCTCGACTAATAATACCTTGTCTAATATTAAGATAATATAAGTCCGTATTATTATAAATTTTATAATTTCTCGCGTTTATAACTTTTATTCAATTTCTTTTAGCCTTTTTTGTAACACAATTGCATGATTGACAGTTAAAAAGAAAATAAAACATATTTCGATTGACACAAGTTTTGGAAAAATTGTTTGCACAGATTTATCATATTTAAAATTGTAAATGATTTTAAATAAACATATGAAAATTTTAAGCATTGCAATAAAGATTTAATTCATTGCAGAGTTGAAATAATCTTAGAGAATGTAAGCATCAAAAGTTTATGAGTATAGGATTATTCTCTCGTTCGTTTTAACATTTCATAAATTCCAACAAATTTGAGTTTCCTTAAAAATACTTTAACATAATTGAAATTATAAATTCTTTAAAATAAAAAAAAAGAATTTCTAATTCACTGAAAATAAGATATTTCATTAAAAAATTAAAACGTATCTAGATATTTTATTTTTTGTGTTTACATTTCTAAATCTTTTCTATTTGGAAATTTTTATGTTTTCGTGCAAATTTGAGCTAACCTAAATCAAAATTGAAGTATAAAAAGTCTTTAAACAAAAGTATAAGAATTTGTTACTCAACGATAAGAAGCTAGCTCGAGATTGAATTTATCAAAGTTTGGCCTGCATAAGATGTTTCTCTTTTCCATTTTTACAAATTTCTTCCGAGTTCAAATTTTCTTTAACTATACCATTATTGAAATAATAATTATATTTAAGAAAACAATAAGAGTTTTTTACTCAACGTAGTAATCAGCAAATTTAATTCTGGAAGTCTAGAGAATTTAAATAAAGTTTTGCATATGTTAGTTTTTTTCACTTTGTCTTTGGAACTTCTTATAAATTTCTACCTTCTTCAAGTTTCTCGAATCAGTATTATAATTATAACTGAAATAATAAATGTATTTAAATAACCCTATAAGAAAATTGATCTCAATGATAATTGTCAAGTTCAATGAAAAATTGCATGTCTTCAGTTAAAAAAAATTTCGATTCTATGATTTGTATGATTTCCTAAAATGATATCCAAATTTTCAGTATTCAGAAAAAGGAAATAACCAACCGTTGAAATTACCTGAATCGAATCAGTCTAACGCCAATGCCCCTAGTCAAAACTTTGTTCCGCGCCAATCCGGAAGTTATACATGCAGTTTGCTCTCATGAAGTTCTAGCATCATCACACACCCAACCGAGATCTTCAGCATCTGTGGGATCAACTTTTTTGGGTGAACCTTCTTTTGGGGGCATGTCGAAAAGAAAAGCGGAGAGAGAGAATGACGGGATATATTTTTAGAGTGTTTCGCTACCATGTTGCTCCCGATGGTTCCTGCCTTCAAGAGGATGGAGATAAATCTTCTCCGAATCAGGAGGATGCCTGCTGTCCTTGGTAAGGTGTTCGACAAAGTGCCGATACTTTGTTCGAAATAGGGATGAGTGGAGTGGTTCGACAGGCATCGAACACCGATTTAGAAGAGAGAAGTTTGGGTTGGCAGTATGAAATCTTTCCTTATCCCAAGACAAACTTGTGGTTGTTTGCTTACTAAGATGCAGACTCAAGGATTATTTAAAGGGCCTTAATATAGACCCTCTTAAAACAAAGAAAATGAGAAGTTAAGTTTGATAAACAATCTGGAGCTTGCAACCTACAATATGCGCTCAAGAATAGGACATTCCTTTAGCAACGTGCTCTTAATAAAGAGACATTTCTTTAACAATATGCGGATACTTATTAATAAATTAGCTACATATATTAGCCACAAACATTAAAAATGAAAACTTAAATTAGTCAGATATGTTTATAAAAATAAAGGACTTCTTAGAGGTTGTTTAAAATATTGCTACATAAATAAAAGCAAAATATAAAATTTAAAAAAATAACTTTTTCATATTAAAAAAAGAGTATTTTAAGCATGTTTTGCAAATTTTATTTTATATTTTAAAAGCTTATATTCTAAATATAAAATGAATGAATCTGAAAATAAAATCTAAACTATATTTGAACTTGCGAAAAATTCACTCCTTCATTTTGAAAGGTGAATTTTCAAACTTAATTATGTATCTTTCAGCAAAGTTAACCTAAAAACAATACGCATATAATTCTCACGAATTTCAAGAACTTGATGCTACCTTTTTTTTAAAACCAGTTATCCTTCTACCAATACAACTTTTCTTCTAAAAAAGTTTTAAAAATATTTTATGTTTTAGTTGTTGAGGAAATTAAATTACTTGAATGCCATTGTCTAATTTTCGATAAATGCATTTAATCTAAACAACGGAATTTTAAGTCATATTTTGTTCTCAAATGTTACGAAATAGCATGCTCTCTATAATAAACCACAAATTTTTGATTCATGTGCAATACATTTAATCGAAACCATTTAATTTTGAGATACATTTTGTTTTAGAATACTATAAACAAATAATACACTATCATTTTCAAAGAAAAAATTTATGAAATTACTTTTAAATCTTTAAGCAATTTTGTTCGATCAAAGTTATTCGTTATATGAATTTTTATGTATCACACATTATTCATTAATAAAGGTTAAATTACTCATGATAAAACTATTAATGTTTTTTGAACTCTTTATCTGAGGAAAATAAAAGCATCTTGATAATGAGTAATTTTAAACTATATCACTTAAAAGCGTTATCTGGGCTTTGAAATTTAAGTAATTTCTTAAGAAATATTAAACTCTATAAAATAATCGTCCATTTGACAAGATTTTCCCACAAAGTTGAAATTTGTTGTAATCATTGAGCGATGCTTACATTTTGCATATTTTTTAAAAGGAACAATTTAGAATAACTTTACAATTACTATACCATCAGATCACAAACGTTTTTCAAAACTATGAGATGATTTCTTCATTAATCGATGTCATACTTAAAGATTGCAAATGCATAAATATTAAAAAAAATTAAGCAGTTTCGATAAATTTTTCAAAAATAACTGCTTGTGCCATTTACTCTTACTCAAATTTTGTAAATTTTTTTTAAAAAAATAATTTTAAAAAAAATTGGCTGTTTTTGATGCTACATCTTGTGTTGTGCTAGTAAAACCCAGTTTTGAATTTTTTTTAAAAAAATAATTAAAAATACTAAAAATTGGAGTAAGTGTGGGTCACACCAAAATTAATTTTAACAGATATTATTAAATCTGTTTGACTTTTTAAAACTTAATTCTGTCCCTTTGAAATCTGCAAATATAAAATTCGAAAATGGTGAAATTTTCCTGTGGTTTTTCCTCATTTTAACATTCTGTGCGATTTATAGAATTAGAATAAAGATCCCTTGATAAAAAAAAAAGATAAAATTCAACTTAAAAATTCATAAATAACAGTTACAAAATCCTAACAGTTATAAAAATAGCATGTTATTCACTAAAAATCGTTACTTCATAAGACGAAGAAGCATGCGAAGAACATTTTTAAGAGTTTATCCGCATAAATGAATACATTGCATCTGTGGTTAATATTTCTCATAGATGGCGCTCTGAGTAGTGTTGTATTAATTACATAGATCAGATTCCGCCATTGTTTTTCAAAAGAATTTTTTTGTTATTAAATCATTTTTTTTCGTTATTAATTATACTTTATGTCATAGAGCGTGATAGCAATACATTATATAACTGTCTCAAACGAAAATTCCCTCTCCTAATATGGGCTAAGAAACAAATGATGCAGAAAGATGCAGTATGCAGAAAGAAACAAATGATGAATCATGAAAGAAATGAATGATAATACCCCAAGATTTTCGCATTTTAGAGCATCAATGGAATTTGAAAAAATTGCCAATAAACATGTGAAAAAAATTCCCTGATGTAAATGAAAAATAAAGCGAATGAAAAAGAAAAATAAATCTTTTTTTTGTCCTGGTAGGAAAACATAGTATTTATGGAATAGCAGAATTTCAAAAACTGAAATATCGTTTTTTTTGCTAAATGTTTGAAAGCTGTTTAATAACAGCAACTTTCTTCATGAAAACTATCTGAAAATAGAATCTACTTATCTATTTTCAGGCATCTTGATTTTTTTTTTTTAATTTTTATTGCCGCTTACAGTTTTCATCAACATAAAAAACGCAATATTTTGAGAAACTATAAATTAATAAAATTTTAATAACGCTTCAATAGTATTTTCAGATGAAGTAGTTTTGTTGCGTGAGTAATTTTATAAGAATTTTAAATGAATGAATTTTTAAATTATCTAAATGAAATTTTTAACGAATACCAAAAATAGTTATAGTGTCATTTTTAAAAATGTTCATTCCACAAAATTTGACATATGAGGCTTTAAAATGCGCATTGTATATTTTATTTAAATATTTTTTTGTTTGATGAGTTTAAACATTAAATAGTAGCATTAAAAAAGAATATCTCATTCTCAAAATAAAACATTTTTTTATAATATTTGTTCAAGTGATACTGCCAAATACTAAATAATCATCATTAATTTATCGAATAAAAATTTCAGGTTGCATGAAATAATATTGAAAAATTTCATTATTATTCACGGCTAATTTCTATTTATCAGTTTTTTTTCTCCCTGTGTAAAAGGTATACATAGCACCAACAATTTAGAGCGATACATTATTTAAATAAGTTCTCTTACCTTTAATCCAAAATGTTCAATAAACATTATGCTACTATCATTTATACCTTCCACATTTATGATAAATTTTGTTTTGTTTCATAAAAGTACTTCTTAGTATTTCGTGTTTTCCTTTAATTAAAATAGACAACGTAGCAGAAATTTATTCATCATAAATCACAGGTGTCTATTTTGCTAACGATAAAACCGATCACCTTAACCATGAATGACAATATAGCAGCATAAAAACTATTTAAGAGCTTAAATCATCTAAGATGTAAATATAGTAAATGCATATTCATTGTTGATAATGAATTTATTAATATAACGTTCCTTCTTTTTTTAGTAAAATGATAGAAATATCTAAGAAAAGTATCTATTTTTTCATCATATCGTATTAAGATCTAATGATAATACCATTTAATATTCATCTTGGCGTGACTTAAAAATCGACTTTACAAACCATACTATGACTAAATTTTGTTCCTGTACCAAAGGTAGCATAAATTATTTTCTTTTTGTCTATTTTCTTATAGTCAAAAAAGAAGAAGACGGAGGCAATAAACGCTCAAGAAAAAAAAGAGAAAATGAATTTTTTTTTATCCCACATAGGTCAGAATTTTTTTTTTTTTCTTTAAGTGTTTTCGTCAATTCTCGGAACTAGACACGAGCGAATTTACAAGCTTAAAAAAATCGAAAAAGAAAAATGAACAATAGAAACAAATGCCAAGCCTGTTCAAGGCATACAAATATCGAATGAAAAAAATTCGTATAAAGTAAAAATTTTCGATTGTCTTCAAGAATTCAAGTTCTGAATATACCGCAGACGCCATCCATCATCTCACTTAAAAAAAAAAAAATCAGCTAGTGATATATGTTTTATAACTATTTATAAAGTACAGTGAACTTGCGCATTCCTGACTTTCGATTTAAATTTTTAACTAGTATCACACACATAATCAAGGACCTTATCAAAGCTATACTTCATACGTCAATGGAAAGTAGCTGCAACGGAGTATATTTTTTTTTTAAATCCATGATGGCTGAATACATTTCATTTCATAAAATAATAAAGCCCCTCACCTGTACCGAAACAATAAATTTTCTAATTTAGATCATTTACAGTGAATCTGCTCATAACTAATGAAAGTTTCCAATCTTTATTCATATATGGCCCTAATATAAGCAAGGGAAGAAGAAGATGGTGATACAACCCTTTTTTATGTATTTCCCATCTTTTTATTTTTAGACATAATTGTCATTCAACAACGAAAATTTCTAATCTTGTACAGCTAAGGTTATTTTGATATAAAACAGAATATTTTGTTCTAAGATAAATCTTAACGCGCTAAATTTTATTTTAATTAACAGTATCAAGCTAAGGTTTAACTATAATATGCTAAATTGTGTTATCAAGCTAGTGTATTTTAATTTAAAAACATTTGCTTTATATTCTGTCATAAAACAAATTATCTATGACGAAATATTTAGTTTCGAAATAAAACGGCTAACTTGATTATTTCCAAAAATAGATACAATGAAACAATTCATGATTATTATTTTTGCTTCACGGTACCTAAATTTGCATGGATATTCTTTAAATAATAAATTAATGTATGACTGTTCAAATAATTTAAAGTTTCGTATCTCTCTTAAAAAATTTCACAGTCAAATCGAAAAATTGTTTTTTTACTACCTAATTGACAAAAATTATCTCCGAATAATATATTAACCTACAAATTATTTAAAGTATCTCTGAGATTCTGCTTCCTGCTCCTGATTCAGGTTCCCAATCCCAGGGATTACTTCTCATAAATCATTATTATTCATAACGGCTCTATCATTCTGTAATGCCTCTAAAAGAAGAAAGAAATGAAGAAAAGTAATTTTAGTCATTGAAAAGACTTATATTATTGTAACAGTTTAAATATAAATTTTTAACGTCCATTGGTTACATA